GTGCTCTGCCCCCACGCATTTGCCCTGCACATGCACACGTGCCCCCTGCATGTGCCCCACACTCAGCACATGCACGGCAGAGACCCGAAGACCAGCTGGCTGGCGGGAGGTGCGCACATGCGCAGCAGGACTGAACTGGGCAGACGGCTCGCGTGCCATCAGAGAGGGCGCTACGTTCCACTTCTGGCACATGTGCCACAGGTTCGCCATCACAGTTCTAGAGAAAGTACAGCCAACTATCTCACTAGGCTTGCAACTTAAAGTCAGAGAAGAACAGTTACAGGTATGAAAGGAGAGTTTCAGTGTCGAACCTATTGAAATCCTATGTGCTCATGATGACACTGAATCCATAGCTCATGTATTATTGCAGTTTATAAGATTAGAAAGGATCACACTTCTCTATATTTCTAGGAAGGACCTAGGACACCTACTGTTCTTATTGACAGATAATGCCCAGAAAAAACAGGAAAATTGAAGAAATTGTGCCAAAATATACTTAAAGTGAGCGCTCTCTGTGTACTCTGCCTGTATGTTATGTGTGTATGTGTTTCTGTGTATATATACACACAAATTCTGTAAGTGTCATTTCTCTGGCTTTGTTTTTGTACTGATGAATGATCATAATCACTTAGTTACTAAATGCATTATTTAAAATGTGTCAGTCGACTTTTTACTCTAGTGAGCATTGAATAATTTACCATCTCAGTTAAATAGCAATGCCACAATAATGAAAAACTTCATACTTTGTCTGTGTGACCATACCGCTGCATCTGTAGGAGAAGATCCAGCAGATATAAAGAACTGAAAATTTTCCCCTTCTGCACAATCCATAGCTTGCCTTGCGTCAGCCCGAATCACAAGTTGGCCTGCTGCATTTTAGCCTAGTGCATATATTTAAGCCATGCCATAAATATGTAATTCCCATATAATTTTGCAAAACCAGAAAATTGGGTTGAATAAACCACGGGCAAGTATGTTGTGCAAAGAGAGTTATAATTACAAAATCACCTTTGATTTAGATGCTGGTTTGCCACTAAGTAAACTACTGTTTTATTAATATAGTTCAGTGACATTCCAGATTAGTTATAATTTGCTTTGCATTTTTCTGTACAACTATGAACTGCCTTGAATGTAATCATCTAGTAGAAAGGTAAGTGTAAATTAGAGAACTGAGCACTGAGGCTGTGATATTTCAGTGATTTATTGGATAAGTATCCACAAATATGCCTGGAATAAGAGATTTCCCCCCTCTTGCATCTTTTAAATTATAACTTCATCAACATTGGAAGAATGCAGTGGGAAGGGAGAGCATGACATGGAAGCTCTCTGATGTGGATGAGTGCCCAGATTTGATGGGGAGCTTTACCCTGCCCCTTTCTAGCAGGTGACCCAACTCTTCCAATGTTGAAGCAAGGTTGTAATCCAAAATGCCAGACCTTCCAAAACTGTCAGTTTGAATCACTTCTCAAACAATGCCCATCATTGGAGTACTAGGCCTAACAATTCCAAACCCAGCTTTACAATGGCGTTTCCCAGTTAAAATCCATGCCTGTCTGTAGAGAGCAAATTGCAGTGCTAATTAACTGTTAATGCCTGCAGATGTTTGATGTTTAAGAATATATGTTTTGTGGTCTGCAACAAAGGATGAACAGGGGCTGCAGAGAGAGCTTCAAAGGTCCACTAATCCCTCACAGAGGTGGCTCCCAGGGACAAAAGGTGTGTGGAGCTTCAATGAAGGACTGAATGATGGAGATCCCTTATCTCTGACACCAGTTCTGAATGATTAGGCTTCTAATTATGGGACTGTAATGTCCTCTGGCTCAACAGGATGAAAGAACCAGAGAGATCAAACCTTCCTAGATAGAGTGGAAGCTTTTGAGTCCAGGTCACAGAAAGACATAGAGAAATCTATAAGACAAAACATAGATATTAAAAGACCTTCCAGAATCACAAAAGTCATCCTGCTCCAAACGTACATATGCAAATATAGACAATTTTACCTAATGAAGAAAGATTCTTGACCTCTTTTATAATATGGCTGTGGCTGTGACTGTGAACAATCATTTTCTTCCTATTTAAACTATTTATATATGTTGTGGGACTAAAAGTGGAGGGCTAGTTGCATGTTTCCTAATTTTTTTAAATGTAGTAGTAGGCTGTACACCTAATAGCGAAAACAAAATAATGGAATGTAATGAAAACGTGAATTTCTCCACTAAATATTCATGTTCCACCCCTCCCACCAAAAAGGTTCATGGCATTTTTAGGAGGGGTGAAAAGTATGAAGTGGTCTCTCTATCTTGAACAAAAGTTTGCTGGCCAAAGAAAGCTTTTTGTGATACAGTGAATACATTTTGGTTTACTGTTAATTGAGCTATTTCTCAAAGCACAAAAATAGTCAAGAAAAAAGGCTTCCCACAAAAAAAATCCAGATCTTTGGTGGGTAAGGTAGTTCTTTTAAAATAACAGATGCCCCAGGCTAGTAAGGACTGTATTTTTGTCACTTTGTCTGTTTATCTTTGCCTTTAACTATACTTGCTATTCAAGAAATAGCAGGTGAAACTGTTCACAACAGGGAAGTTACCTGATATCACGTGTTTAACTGCAACATGTCAAGTGTTGGAAATGTAACAGCTCTGATAACAGCAAAGAAGGATCTTTACTCCCAGTCATTAATTGGGTATTTCATTAAGCCACAGAGTCCAGGGGGACAAACCAAGTTAGCAATTTGATGATTATATGATCCACAAGTGCTTTTCCCCCCCATCCAGATTGGACAAATAAAATTTATTTGGGACACTTTCCCGACTGCCTGCCTAGGACCCAGCCTATATATTCTTCAAAACCCGTGAAGTCGGGTTTTTTATTACCCATTCCTTCCCTACTTTTAAGCGTTCATTAATAGACACATATTTTTTTAAAACTCCTCCAGATTTAAGAAAATTATGTTTTTCAATATTCTGAATCATATTCTTCATTTTAGTGTAAATGTCGGTTCACACAGTGATATCTGTATCAGTATGATGATTGCTGTATGATCATTCTTCCTAAAGAAGAATGCAAGGTTGGGTGGTTGAATGCCTATTAGCATACCCAAATACAGAGAGTTTATGGACAAGCTGGGATTTTAAAGGGCCCTTTGGAGAGGGTAATTGAAATCCCTTTCTTCCTTTCTGTTCCCCTCTGCCTTCTGCTGTTTTATGTCTTTTGTATTGTTCTCTATATAAAATGTTTTAACAATTTTAAACCATCCAGAGTTGCTGGGAATTGGTTGGAATACTGTTATTATTATGGTTGGTCACACAGTCAGTCTCATGTTTAGACTGGATTTAGCATATTTACCCACCTATCCGATCCTTTCCCAAGGACTTGGGATAAGCAGCTCTTGCTGTTTAATACCAACAGCACTTAGACTTATAAACTGCTTCACAGTGCTTTACAGCTTTCTAAGCAGTTTATACATGGTGGCTCAGTGGCTAAGATGCTGAGCTTGTAGATCGAAAGGTTGGCAGTTCAGTGGTTCGAATCCCTAGTGCCGCATAACTGGGTGAGCTCCTGTTACTTGTCCCAGCTTCTGCCAACCTAGCAGTTCGAAAGCACGTAAAAAATGCAAGTAGAAAAATAGGGAACACCTTTGGTGGGAAGGTAACAGTTTTCCATGTGCCTTTGACATTTAGTCATGCTGGCCACATGACCACGGAAACGTCTTTGGACAGTGCTGGCTCTTTGGCTTTGAAACGGAGATGAGCACCGCCCCCTAGAGTCGGGAACGACTAGCACATATGTGCGAGGGGAACCTTTACCTTTACCTTTAAGCGGTTTTACAGAGTCAGCATATTGCCCCCAACAATCTGGGTCCTCATTTCAGTCCTGAGCCGGTCAGGATTGAACTGCTGGCAGTCAGCAGAGTTAGCCTGCAATGCTGCACTCTAACCCCTGTGCCACCATGGCTCTTAATATTAAAGGTATTGTTGCAGGATGTTATTATTAGCCTTTTCACAAGAACGCGAACGGCTGCCAGTTCTTTAGCTAGTGTTAGCCTTCCTATACATCAAGTTCTTCCCAAGAACCGAAGATGTCATAATGCATCAGCCTACTCTATCCATGGGCCTTTTTGCAATCAAATGATGAACATTTTTTCAAGGCGCAGATTTTTTTTTTTTTAAAAATGTGCGGGTGCTTAATAAAGGAAAGATATCATTAGGCCCGGGGTACTTGCAGGACCATCTTCTGCCATCCTCCCATCGTCCTGTGCGCTCTCACAGAGCGGGCCTCCTCAGGGTGCCGTCAGTCAGACAATGTCGGCTGGCGGCCCCCAGGGGGAAAGCGTTCTCTTGTGGGAGCGCCGACCCTCTGGAACGGTTTGTCCACCGGGCTTAGGGCAGCCCCCCCGACCTCCTCTCCTTCCGCCGCGAACTGAAGACGTGGCTCTTTTATCAAATGGACTGACCCGTTGACGGTTTTTTTTTTTACATTGTAATCATTTTAATTAATTTTAATTGGATTTTAATTTATATTTAATGCATATTGTTGAATTTTTATCTTGTAAGCCGCCCTGAGTCCTTCGGGAGAAGGGCGGCATATAAATTGCAATAAAATAAATAAATAAATGAATTAGGCTCCTTATTGCTCAATTCTGCACCAGAAAGAATTCACTATACAAATTAGGGGGGGGGGAAGGGGACCTGCCGTGGTTCTGGCGAGCAGGGCGCCCCCTGTGGGCAAAGCGTCGAAGGTGCCCTTGGCTCTCGGGAGTCTTCTTTTCCTAAAAGTCCGCGCCGCGTATTTATTTTCCTGTGTAGCGCTGCCAGACGGCGTCTGCCTCTCTGAAGCTTGCAGCGGTTTCCTTTCCAGCCTGCCCTTATCTTCTCCTGCACGTTGACTCCGGGTGACTAATAACACAATAACATAACAAAGTCGGGTTTTGTTTACGCCGCTCTCCGGGGGTGCGTATAAAAGGAGCCGCCGAGAGTCCGACCGTAGCCAGAAGCGCTCGAGGAGCCTCGCTGGAAGAAAGCAGCGCCTGCCCACCTGCTCCACGAGCCCTCCTCTTTGCGCCCAGCCTGCCTCTCGCGGCTGCCTTAGCGGACTGCGGCCAGGGTCTTAGCTCGGTGGCTTTTGGAGGGGGGGATCGAGCGATCGGACGGTCGTGCTCGCCTGCAACTTGCCTCGGGACTAAAGCGGGTTTAATAAGGCATTATCTTCGCACTGCCCGCCCCTGGGTTAGCCGGCGGAACCGTCGGGATGGATTACACGCGGATGATCCTTCCCTTGCTTTTTGTGATCAGCCAGGCAGCTCAACACGCCGGTAAGTTGAAAGGATCCTTTTGAATTTCTCAATTCTTCTGCAGATGGATTTAGCCCAGGTTGGGCTTTGGGCCGATAGACTGCATCCGTCCAAGGAAGACTGCGAAACTCGGATGCTCTGTGGTCCAAAGCGTTCTCCCCCCCAGCCAGGTCAGGCGCTTGCTTAGCCTCGCCAAAGGGCAACTCCAGGACTCCGGGGGACCGGTCCTCAAGGCGATTCATCCGAAATCGTTAACAGCTGGTCCTAGGTTCGATCCCGCAGGCGAAATGTGCTCTTGAGAGGTGGCGGGATCTACCGCTGGAAAGCTCGCTTTAGCGGTGGGCGGTGCGAATTTGGCTTACCTGGCTTGAGGCTTACCGGGGAGCAAGTTTTAGCAGTAGAATTCTTTTAAAGAAATACTTCCAAGGAGGGCGGTGGTAGGAACGGTTCTGCTTGCTGGATTCACTAGCTCTCTAGGCGATTAGCCAGAGGGATGATTCAAGAGTTGGACAGTTTAGAGATTCAGGCAACAAAATCTTGGGACCCTTGTGCGGGCGACTGAGAGCCGGTTGGACAATCCCTAAGTAGAATTAAAGGGACTTCACATTCACTAGCAAACCCAACACTCACGAGCGCTGATGATGTTGCCTAATCGGGTCATGAAACGTCTGAAAACAAGCAACCAAGCTCAGAGAGCACCCAAGGGCTCCAAACAATTAAGAGAGCGCCTCCTTTAAATCCATTGATTGAAAGAAGGCGAGGTAAATGGGTTTAAAACTGGCACCCTCAGCTTGCGATCCACCCCCCCCCCCAAACGCGCTAAACCAGAAACCAGCCGTGAACAAGCCACTACGGTTGCAATTCGTACGATACTCTCCTTATGTATTATGATATTTTCCTTATGCGCGCTGAGAGCTTATGCACCAAAGACAAATTCCTTGTGTGTCCAATCACACTCGGCCAATAAAGAATTCTCTTCTATTCTATACGCCGCACTAAAACAATCGTAGATCAACGCGATGGCATGGCTCGTACCTCTTGGAGGCAGAATGGGTTTTGCTTGGCTTGGGTTTAACCACTGTGATACGTAAAACCACGATTTAAAATTTATCGTGTCGTGCCAGGTAGAGGTTACTAACTCCCCTGCTTTCCCAGTTGAAGCAATTTCCCTCTTCGCCATCGAGCCGCGAGTTCGGATGGCCTTTCCTCAACCCCCGCATCATTCACAAGTGCTGGTTTGCCATTTGGGGAATTGCAATCCCGGTGGGTTTTGAGGGCGAACGTCTAAAATTTGGGCGATCCCATGAAAGCGCCCGGGCTTCAACAACTGGACTGGACAGGGTCCCAAAGGTGCATTTTTTTCCCCCCAAGAGGCAACTGGGCTTTCTGGGTTTCCTTTGAAGACGTTTCGCTTCTCACCCAAGAAGCTTCTTCAGCTCTGACTGGATGGTGGGGAAGTCAAAACACATCCTTCCAACCTCATTCCCCCGCCATCCAGTCAGAACTGAAGAAGCTTCTTGGGTGAGAAGCGAAACGTCTTCAAAGGAAAACCAGAAAGTCCAGTTGCCTCTTGAAGAAAAAAAAATGCACTTTTGGGACAACCACGACCTGGATGACGGAGAATCTCCCTAGACAGGAAAGGGGTTTCCTCACCTCCCCCATCTCGTTTGCTTATATTCGTAGAGGTAGTCAATCCACTTTCCTGAAAACTATTTGGGACTACATTTCCCATGAACCACGCCGCCTAGGGGCTCGGAAGCGCTGAATAGAATAGATTTCTAAGTTAACACCTGGGCGCCACGCTCGCCTTTGCAGCCAGAGCCCCCGTCAACCCCGTACAGCAGGGGTCTCCAACCTTGGCAACTTTTAAAGCCTGGCGGACTTCAACTCCCAGAATTCCCCCCACCAGCAAAGCAAAGCAAAGCTGGCTGGGGAATTCTGGGGTTGAAGTCCGCCAGGCTTAAAGTTGCCAAGGTTGGAGACCCCTGCCGTAGAGACAGCTTGGTTGGCTTCGAGGGACGATCGGAACGGAAAAGATCGGAACGGTTCCAAACCGGCGGCCGCGGACTAGCCCGGTTTTTTTTTTATTATTATTATTATTTCATTTCCCGGTCTGGTCTTTACGTTTCTTAATGACGCGGGTCGCTCAGCGAGGAGCCACGTGCAGTTGTCAAAGCTGCGGCAACGGGAACTGCACCACAGGCTTCCCCAAGTCTCCTCTGCTAGTCAGAACCGGCTCTCCCCCCCCCCCCCCCCTCTCTCTCCCCCCCCTCCTCCCCTGGTCCCCCTCAGCGACGGTTTTTCCCCCCCCCCTCCTCAGATGCAGCGGTCGGTGCCTGGGTGGAAGCCACCAAGCAGCCCGCGAGCGCCCCCTCGCCGCCGCGCAGGGTGAAGCGTTGCTCCTGTTATTCCATGATGGATAAAGAATGCGTCTATTTCTGCCACCTGGACATCATCTGGATTAACACTCCGGAGTAAGTACGGCCTCCTCCTTGGCCCTAAGCCATTAATGTAGTTTTTATCGCTCCGGGGCTGTGTTTAATTAAATCTAGGATTCCTCTGTTAAGGCGAGCTCAGCACATCCCTTCTTTTTATCTGGCCAAATTGCTATCTCAAGCAGGGGTCTCCAACCTTGACAACTTTTAAGACTTGTGGACTTCAACTCCTAGACAACTCCCAGAGTCTTAAAGTTGCCAAGGTTGGAGACCCCTGATCTAAAGTATCAGCCAGATCCGAAGCCCCACAAATGGGAAGTCTAATTGCATTTAGGATAATCTTGGGGAAACCGCTGTTAGTTGCTTGCTCCTAGCACTTCAAAGAAAATGTGTTCCAGATCCAAAATTTGTTCCAAATCCAGATATGTTGGATTATGAATCCCATCATACTGATTGTGGCGATGGGTGTTGTAGTTCAGTGAACTGGGGAGTACCAGGTTAGAATAAGTGTGTGTAAAAATAAGTGTGTTAGGGTAACAAGTGCACATCATGGAACTGTTTTCCTGGCAACATAAGTACAGAGAGTCCTTGATTTACGACCACAATTGAGCCCAAAATTTCTGTTGCTAAGTAAGATGTTTGTTAAGGGAGTTTTGCCCCTTTTTACGACCTATCCTGCCACAGTTTTTAAGTGAATCATTGCAGTGGTTAAATTCTCAACATGGCGGTTAAGTGAAGCTGGCTTCCCCATTGACTTTGCTTGCCAAAAGGTTGCAAAAGGGGATCACATGACCCCAAAATATTGCAACCGTCATAAATATGAGTCAGTTGCCAAGTGTCTGAATTTGGATCATGTGACCATGGGGATGCTGCAATGGTCATAAGAGTGAAAAACGGTCATAAGTCAACTTTTTTTCAGTGCCATTGTAACTTTGAACAGTCACTTTGAACTGTTGTAAGTCGAGGACTACCTGTATTAACGTAATTCTTATAGTTTGGCCTCTACATCTAATACAGTTGCATTCTGCTCGCTTCTAAGCAGTTTGTACATTTGCAATCTGGACCTTCGTAGCTATGAATTTAAGGGTGCCACATTGCACCCTTAATTTGATAGCACAGCACTGTTCAAACAAGCTCAGCTATTTGCTCTCATGCATGAAATCTGATTTTAATTGGTTCATTTTGTAGCATTAAACTGAAATTGGCTTGGTACACCATGAGCAAAGTTTGCAAAGACAAAACCTGGCCACAGCGTTCTCCTATGGGACTCTACTGCATTAGCAGCATGTCAGGCAGAACTGCAGTTAATCAAATTAGCAAAGGCAAGGCAAAGACAGGTCGCTATCAGACAAATCGTGTTGTGTAATCCTTGATAAGCGTGCTGAAATGTATTTGAACGCCGCCATCTGCTGCTAGCGCATACCAATCCTGCTTTAATTATTTGGCTTAAAGGAGGTCTACCCACAGTGTGTGAGGGAGCTTGAGGGGGCTTCTTCGGTAAGAGGATATTAACGGTGCAAAATTATTAGACGTTCGAACTGAGATAGGCCTCAAGGTAACTGTGCGTATGGAGCTTGGTAAAACCAGGTGTTTCATACCAAACTGTAATTCCAATCAGATTCTGCCAGCAGTGAGGGATGATGGGAGTTGTAGTCTAGGAATAATTGGGAGACCACATGTTACTCATTCAATATTTTTTTTTCATTACAGGCGGATTGTGCCCTATGGGCTTGGAAGCCTTTCTCGAACCAGAAGATCCCTAAAAGATTTACCGCTTGAGACACTTCAGCCATCTCACAGCAGATGCCACTGTGCTAGCCTGAAAGACAAGAAGTGTATGAACTTTTGTCAGCCAGGAACAGAGCACAGGTAAATTTTCTTTTGCTTTCTTCTATCTAGCCTATAATGAATGGATTATAAATTGGATCCCCATATATCTACTTCATCTCTAAATATCTGAGTTACCATAGCCTAACATTTGTGGTGATATCAATTAAGTGACCAAAGGCTTTGAAGCATCTAAAGCAGGGGTCAGTAACCTGCGGCTCTGGAGCCACATGTGGCTCTTTCACCCCTCTGCTGTGGCTCCTTGTCACTCAAAATATGCGCCGCCAATGTGTGACACCCGCAGGCATGCTATTTACTGAACTTTTCAACCCCTGGTAGGCCAACCATGGATAAATCCGAGAAAAGAAAAGTTTCAGAAGAAAACAGAATGTTTAATTCAACTACATATGCTAGCTTTGTGGCCACTCAAGAAATAGTCAGGCACGGGAAGGGTTTTGTGGCTCCCGGTGTTTTTTTTTTCCTGTAGGAAACAGGTCCAAATGGCTCTTTGAGTGTTTAAAGATTGCAGACCCCTGATCTAAAGAAACAGGGTGTCATTAAAGTTTATCATGTTCAACTAGCATTAGGCTGCTAGTCTGTATTTAGACATGATACCATATGGAGGATTTTGAGCAGGGACTGGCAACCGATATCCTCTTTTGGACTTCAAATATCATCATTCCCAGTCAGTACGATTAATGATAGGGTCTATCAGAGTGCAGCTCCCAACATTTGAAAGACATGGGATGGTTCTCTCTGATCTTGGATATTTTCTTCAATAAATCCAGGGGTTTGGCTGACTGAGGAATTCTGGGAGTTGAAGTCCATAAGTCTTAACGTTGCCAAGTTTGGAGACCCACAAACTAAATCAATGCGATTAAGGTGTTAAAAATGAACCAGCCGTGGGAGCTCATTTTGTGGCTTTGAGTTAGTTACCCTCTCAATTTATTCTACTCGGTAGAGTTATTTTGAGGAAACGGGGGAAAAGATAGTGATATGAGATCCTGGAGAACACCAGGATATTCATTTATTAGATTTATATCCTTCCTTTCCTCAAACCCTGAAATTGGCACATGTACAATCCTTCCTTCAAACTTATTCCTCTATAACTTTATGGGACAGGTTGGGCTGAGCAGGATGAAAGGCCCAGAGTCACCCACTAAACTTCTGTGGCCTTGGTAGAGTCAAACCGGGTAGAATCTAACTCTTGCTTCACAATCCCTACACCATATAGGGTGTCTAAATCTGACCAGTTGAATGAATGAATGAACGTTGTAAAAATAAAGTCATCGAGGAAGAATAAGGTTAAGCTTTAATAAACGTGCTACAGTATGTGCAAGAAATGTGAATGTTTCTCACAGCTGCACCTTTTTTTTTAATTGATATGAACAGATCTCAGTCCACTACAGAGAAGGAATGGAAACATTTGTTTAAAGGGAGAGATTGCAAAGGACTTGGACTCAAGTGTACATTTCATCAACTGGCTGAAAGCAAGAAAATGAAGAGGTAAAATTGTCCTTTCCACTTCTGTAAATGTACTGCATTCCACAACAGAATACATAAAATCTCAAGTGAAAGTTTTTTCTTTTTTTCCCCCAATGGAAGCTATGCCGACTCTGCATTTTCTTAACTGGTTTATGCAGCTGATTTCAGTTCTTGGAAATGGACATTTTATAGCTGCGTAATTTCCCTTTGATTGACTTGGCAGAGGGCTTGTCCCCAATGTGAAGCATTTTTAGTTAAGATATCAATGTACTGTTCTCCATATACAATGAAACTCAATTTACCAGATCTTGAGCCAAGAACCTCTGCAGGGAACTGACCAATTTTCTGCACCAATTAAAGTCATCTGCATAAAAATGTGAATGGCACAATTCATATTGTTATGCAAATCACCCAAGGAGATGGCCTTCATTTAATGAATGTTTGTTAATAACCATCTGCCCCCTTTTAGCTATTCCATTATAATGGGGTTTTGTTACTTATAGATGATAATGTCATACTTCCCAGAGGCTTCTTTTTAATTTTGCATGTGGACATTGTGGTTGCATATGGTGTGAATGGTTTCATTCGTACCTCCTTTCTGCTATAGCTTTAACAGAAGTTAACTATAAAGGTGTTTAGCAAGTAGATACTTTTAGTATCTCCCTTTTCTTGGTAGATTAAATTGATTAATCGATATATGCCATCTAATTGGTGTCAACTCTTAGTCATTCCATAAATAGATTTTTTTCTGAATGACCTGTCCCCAGCCTCTTTAACTCTTCCAACAAGGAACTTGTTGCTCTGAGTCCATCCAGTTGTCAAATATTATATTAATATTTTATTTACGTCCTAAACTTCTTTCCAAAATGAGGTAATTTTGAATGCTGCAAGAGTATGTGAATTTATATTATATGCCTTGCATAACATCTCCAACAGTAGTATGAAAAATAATATTATACCTTTGGGTGTATATAACTCTGGGTTATAGAGATTAAAGAATTTGTATTTCCAAAAAAATGATAATTAATTAAATGCTCATGTGACTAAGAAAATTAGCATATGTGACATCTGTAGCTATACAGACACCAACATATTTGATCATTTAAATTGATGAGTTCTCTTCTATTTCTGCAGGTTGGATACTCTTCGAAACAGCATCAAAGCTTCTTCCAATATTGCCAAACTGGTAAGCAAGCTGCACAAACGAAAGCAGCTGAAGCATAACCGGACATACGAAAAACAAAACATCTGGCAAAGTCTGAAAATGACATCGTAGTGGAAAGATCACCAAGCCTAATCCTCAAGTCAGCAAGACTTTCTGACAAAGCTTTGCTGAGGCTTTGTTTTGGCTTCTCAACATTCCACTTCAGGAAAAGATCAAGGAAAGTCGATCTAAATATTAACTCTCTAAAGTAAAGGAGAGCCCACATAGATATTCCATTCAGACTGATGACAAAACAGATAAAGACTGGCATTTTATTGGAATTCAGTGGGTCAAAGAAAATCTTCTCAATCAATTCCTTTAAAGACTGTCAAACGAAGAATGGACATGTTTGGGTCCCAGCTCCAAAAAGAGAGTAACATTTAAAGCATCAACTCCTTTGATTTGTCAGGGTTCAGCCACAGTATAACCCAAAGCCAGATCAAAAATGGAAAGACCAAGATTTGAAAGAGAAGATGCCTTAGCTCCAACCCTGATTAAAGGCCAAATAACTCTGCTATTTTGATTGAGGCACATATTCTAAATTACAGGTCTACCTCATATGCTCTGAATTGCACTCTTGCCAAACTAACATTACAACTATTTTGTGAGTTTTGAGTGTTGGCTTCAACCTTTTTTACCTTTAACCATGATTGCCTATAGTTTAGTTAATTTAGTTTTAGATTTTCAGGATTGCAGATTACGTTTGTCTACAATCTGGTGGTAAGGGAATGAAATAAATTGCCTTCATCCCAAAGATATAATGTCATTTGAGAAAATAGATCTCACTATTTTTCAGGGGATCATATTTTTAAAAGAGTGTTAGAGTTAGAATTGGAGTGATAAAGGATTGTTAATACATGAAATTCAGTATATATGAAAACAACAAAATTTAGTGCCATTGAGTAAAACATGAATTGGATGACCAAAGTTGTACTAAGAGGTTGTGCTGTCTAGTTTTCTCTATAAATAAAATTTGAAGACAAAGCTAGTTTAAAACTAAGATCAAAGGCTTATCTGGAGCAAACATGAATAGCAATGGATTTATCTATATGATAAATTTTCTGTATAATATTTCTGGATCATATTTTGTATGATGTGCTCTTTACCATTATATATTATATTTATATTCAGGTGGGTGTAAATTATATTTACTATGTTGAACTTATATTGAAACAGGCCATATTGGTCTATATGTTTATATGTTTTAATAAATTTCTGTATGAAATTGGAAAATTCTTTATGCCTGTTAAGGTAAATATACTAGAAATAAATATTTTGAACTACTCAGTCTCTTTTATAGTGTATCGAATTTCTTTTTAATACTCTTAACATTGCTTGTTCACTTTCATCAAGCTAGCATTTTCCATTGCTACAAGATTTCATGCTCATATATGGACCACATATCGTATTCTTCTCGCAAGTACCCAATTTGAATTGAGTCTTAGGAAACAAAATGTTTTATTCCATTCTTGGATCATCTAAATTGCATTACCTAATGTTCCTTGTAAGTACTTCAGACAAGAATGGGTACCATATATCAGACATTAAACAATGGTATAACAGACTTGGAATTAACTTTAATATACAACCTCATAAAATAAATACATATCACTTGGGTTAATGATTGGTGGAAATATCAACGCAAATTGGTGTTCATGCATAATTTATGTCTAAGTGATGTATATCTACAATACTGGCAACCTAAACAGTCTCTTGAAATTACAACCCCTGGTACAGGTAGTTACAGGTGACTTACAAACAAGGTTGCCAAGAATTTTAATTTACTTGGCCATTGTAACTTTGAACGGTTGCTAAAGGAATGGTTGTAAGTCAAGGACTACCTGTAAACTGTGAAGAATAAAACAAATTGTGTTTACTCATGAAGAAGGCGGTCAGACTCCTACTCTGAACTAAAACACATATAAGCTGTCTCTTGGCTGAATTAGTCTGGGGAGCCCACAAAACATTTGATTGACTCAGCTTCAAGGAACTACACACAGGGAAATGAAGAAGGAGTTGTTCAACCAACTCATAATTGTGAGTGAACTGCTCCAAATGCGATTGCAAAAAATATGACTTCAGCAACTGAGTGGTCAATGCCTGGAATACACTACCTGACTCCATGGTTTCATCCCAAAACCCCCAAAATTTTAACCTAAGACTGTCTACTGTTGACCTCACCTCATTCCTAAGAAGTCTGTAAGGGGCATGCATAAGAGCTCCAGTGTGCCTACCGTCCCTGTCCTAATGTTTCCTCTACTTGTATTTATTTTATGTATCCAATTCATATAATTATAATTATATAAATTACCTAATACGTTCTTGACAAATAAATAAATAAAATAAAATAAAATAAATAAACAATGCTCTTCAAGACATCCTTGATGGAGCTGCTAGTAAAAGCAGTCACTGCAAAGTAAAGACTTTTGTGTGATACTTCCCAAGGAAGGCAGGGTGGAACTGAACATATCCTCATGGCAGAATGCTTGGAGTGGGGAAGGAGAGGGATCTGTAGGCCTTCCTTCTCTTATTTTTTGATTCCCACAACATTTCCAAAACAATCTCTAGTAACTCCCAACTGTCCCAGGTAATTAGTAATGTTAGCACTAGTAATATTGACAAGGGTTTTTATTGTTGTTGTCTTTTTCAGCCAAAAATGGAGGCAGCTTGTTGTGGGTTGTTGGTGTGTGAGTGAAAACAGAGGAGTCCGCACCTGTTGCTTGTTTTGGAAACAACTCCAAGACTTCTTGTCACTGTGAGAATCAGCTGTCATAATAACTTCATGCAGAAGCTTCATGAGCTACATCTGCAAGTTGGCTTGATGTTAAGGGCTGAAGCTGGTAAAGCAGAAACCAGTCATTCTCAGACCGGACAGCAGCAGTAGGCAAATAGGAAACAAGTACAGATAGTCCTCGACTTACATCCATAATTGAGCCCAACATTTCTGTTGCTAAGCAAAATCTTTGTTAAGTAGGAATTTGCTCCATTTTACGACCTTTCTTGCCACAGTTATTAAGTGAATCCTGGGTAACACAGTTGTTAAAGTGAATCTGGTTTCCCCATTGACTTGGCTTATAAGAAGTTTTTGCTAAAGGGGAACATGGGACACCCCCCCTCGACACTGCTACCATCATAAATATGAGTCTGTTGCCAAACGGCTGAATTTTGATCATGTGACCACAGGGATGCTACAATGGTCATAAGTGCAAAAAATGGCCATCAGTCACTTTTTTCAGTACTGTTGTAATTTTGACCGGTCACTAAGTGAGTTGTTATAAGTCAAGGACCATCTGTATCACCAACTTTCAAGATCAGGAAAAGGATATCCAAAAATTCACTGACTCAGGAAAAGGCCTAGGATTTAAACCCGAGAACTGATATTTCTGTCTTTTGATACGGTATTTTTTGTCTGTGTTTTTTCCCCAGTATGCATATTTCTGCATATTTATGATTCTTGTCTATAGAGAAGCAGTTTATCCAAGTGCCTGAAATCTGTGGAGATTGTGCTATTAGCTAGTTATTAAATATATGATTAATGTTCTGGACAGCTACAATTGATTAAGATGCCTTGTGTGAAGTCTGATATTTGGAAAATGTCCTCAGCTAGAAAAGGGGACATCTATAGTAGTCACAATGGCCCAAATTCTATCTTTCATACAGACAGGATTGGGCACCAGACTGTATCTCAGCACTCTTTACAGTCAGCTATCAGAACTATTCTTGGTTTTGGTCCATCTTCATGTCAAAAGATTTCCACAGTGGTCCTCTGTATTTAAACCACCACCCATCCCACACCTGCTTTTCAAGACACTTGATATACCTCCTCCCCAGGGGTGGGTTCTAAATTTTTTTACTACCGGTTCTGTGGGCGTGGCTTATTTTGTGGGCATGGCTTGGTGGGGGGGGGGTAATGTGACTGAGTGGGTGTGACCAACTTTTTTTTTTTTACTTTTAAAAGCATTTTTTCGGCCGAAGAGGTTGTAGAAAAAATGCTTTTAAAAGTAAAAAAAAAAAAAAAGCCTCTGATGAGGTGGGCGGGGTAAGTGAGTGGCAACCGAGCCGGGGACCGGTTCGGGGGCGTGGCCAGCCAATGTTATTACCGGTTCTCCGAACTACTACAAATTTTTACTACGGGTTCTTGCGAACCGGGAGCAATCCACCACTGCTCCTCCCCCTTTTCACCCTTATACATCTCATGTCTGAAATAACCTCTTCATATTTTGATAGAAGGTAAGAGCATTCGTCTCACCAGACTCTACAAATTAAATAATTATTCCTTTGGAAAGCATCCTTTGACAGTGTAACACAATGTGCTTCTTTTGGGGCGTCAAAAATCACCCAAGATATAGCCAATTCTATGACTCTGGATAGATATGTACTATTTCTTACTACTGAATGCCCTGCTTCTGCTATAAGCAAACATCGAAATTTCTTGTGAAGATACTTTTTCTACCATGGAGACAGAGCATCTAAGTCAACTTAAATATTATTATTAGATGGAAGATGTTTATAAAAAAAAAATGTAGTGTCCCTCTAACTTCTTTGTTTTTGCATATTCTTTTCCCCTTCCCTTTTCCTATAATTTATGATAGCATAAGAGCCGCAGTGTCGCAGTGGTTAGAATGCAGTATTGCAGGTTACTTCTGCTGACTGCCTGCAATTTGGCAGTTCAATTCTCACCAGGCTCAAGGTTGACTCAGCCTTCCATCCTTCTGAGGTCGGTAAAATGAGGACCCAGATTGTTGGGGGCAATATGCTGATTCTGTAAACCGCTTAGAGAGGGCTGTAAAGCACTGTGAAGAGGTATATTAGTCTAAATGTTAAATGTTATTATCTAAAGACCATCTGCCTTCTATGGTTTCTGTCTGGCATGTATGGGGCAGGATTGACATGTTCCAGGTCTACCTATTAAGCAGTATCATCTGATGGGACCTTGGAAGGAAGTCTTCTCTGTAGAACATTTGTCCTTTAGTACAATCATCTCCTCTGAGATGTGTCTGGCCCCTACCCTTGTTGCTTCTGCTTCTCCTCCTCCTCCTCCTCCTCCTCCTCCTCCTCCTCCTCCTCCTCCTCCTCCTCCTCCTCCTCCTCCTCTTCTTCTTCTTCTTCTTCTTCTTCTTCTTCTTCTTCTTCTTCTTCTTCTTCTTCTTCTTCTTCTTCTTCTTCTTCTTCTTCTTCTTCTTCTTCTTCTTCTGTATTATATTATCCATTCTTATTGTGTGTGGTTCCTATTGGGGGCCCTTATATATTTAAACCAGTTATAATAAAAAATATAACAACCATTACCTCTTCAACAACAGGCTATCAAAAACCAGGGCTTGTTGTTTAGAAACGGGGACAGACACTCTCCGAAAATGCAAGTGTTAAAGAACATGTCTCCGGAGGAAATGGAAGGATTAAATGCCCTTCTTGCATAGAAGAAAATAGGTCTTCAGTTAAATATTATACTTTTTAAATTTTACATGCTCATAAAATGCCCATATTTAAAAATGAATAATATTTCTTTACCATTGGAATAAGCATTGGTAGGGTATCACTTTTTAATCAAGGTAAATAAAAGATCAGCATAGCCAGGGCCAGAGAAGGTGGGCCAGTGACATAACAATAGTAGCTGCTACATTTATAAAACTAAAAGAAACAAAATATTTTTTCTTTTTAATCTATTATAAACCCAATATCCTTTGCGGTTGCATTTAGTTGTGGGCTGCTAGGAGACAAGCCAATTTAGACAAATGATCTCCTAGAATATCTGCAAGGAATCAATTTCCATCAAAGTAGGAGTGACATTTTTCCATTAGCTGCATCACACAATAGTCAGTTCCTATAAGAACATAAAGTCAGCAGAAGCTTAAAATTGAAAGCATTTGTGAACTTACAGATAATAAGAAATCAGGTGACAAAGAGAAAAGCTTTCACAAAATTGTTCATAACATTTTCTACTTAATAGAACTTTATTCCCAATGACATTTCTTGTAATTTGAAGCCTTGAAAAGGTGTCTTTAAAAGACCTTTTGGGTAACTAAAGTCTAAACAAGCAATATGAAAACCAGACTGTTGGCTCGTTTATTGGAAATGAGGATAAAAAAGTAACTTTTTTTTTTTTTTTTTTTACTCTTAGGGGTTTTAATTTGGAAGCTTCCGTATGTTTTCATTTATGAGAAAATGTTTAAAATCAGCTTGGACTCCCCTCTGATATGGAATGAAAAGGAACTTAATAAATTCCAAGGAATTTACCATTGTTCCCCATAATATAGATAGGGCCATCTTTTCACAAAACCGACTTCTTC